GGCTTATTCACGCTACAGGCGAGAAGTACCACACAGGATACGTGTCGGGAGCACGTCTCCGTGGGCAAAAGGCAATTCACGTATCCAAGGAGTACCACACAGAGACGTGTCGCGAGCACGTCTCCGTGGGCAAAAGGCAATTCACGAGGACACCGAAACAAAAGGGCTCGGTCGCTCGAGCGAGGGCAAAAACTCCGCTCGCATTGGCTTCGAGACACACGGGTCGGCGCAGTACGACAACGTGCTTGTTTAAAAAAAAAAAAGGCGCGCCAAGCGTATGACAAGAAATGAAGGCACCCGTGAAACGCGCAGCAGAGGAAAGCCGACAACGTGTGACCGAGTTCGCCCGATGCGGCCGAAGCGGTGCACTCTGACAACGGCGCTCAGCCACGGGCACCTGTCGTGTCTGAAATGGTGCACTCTCCAAAGTCCAGCTGCAACACCTCTTCGTATTATCGGGTCGTCGGATCATCTGACACTTCTAGCGACATACATGCCCCCATTGACACGGCGTTTTATTTCATGGACGAGTCTGCAGAGTGCGCCAAGAATGCGGCGAGTTTGAAGGCATCCCTCGCATCGCAGTGCGCAACGGAATGCAAGTTCAAGCTTCTAAATGTTGATCTTGAAAAAGACAAAAACAGGCTGCAAAAATCACAGAGAGAGCATCTGGACAGCAGCACAACAAAGACTAGACTTGCAAAGTGTCACAAGTAAGCAGGGGACTCCGCTTACAGTCCCGGTCTGCTGTAGAACTTTCATCATGGCAAGCAGTGACAATTTCTTGTAAAATAAATATCACTTTCTTACAACCTTAACATTATGTAGGTGTGTTGCATATGCTAGGGCAACATTATTATTCAATTTTTGTGCATTCCTTTCACTTGAAACTCAGTGGACTGACCACAAAGTAAAAAAAACATTTTCTGCAACTGTGACGATGACCATTTCATAGTTTTGGAGCAAGTTGTGGCCAGTATTCTGAGAGGGTACTGTCATACATTTAGCATGGCCATTATCGTAAAACTACAGGACGGTGTCAGTAATATTGCCTTAGCTTCACTTTAGGAAAAGTTACAGTTGCTGGAAACTTCAAATGCGTTTTTCTCAGTTCGTTGTTTTTGCACATTTTACTCGGCTACAGTGACTAGAATAGAGAAGTGTGATGAGCGGGAAGCGGCGCCTACGTAGGGCATTGAAGCCTTTCGGAAGGAGCCGCGTGGGGGCGCACGCAGTCATTTATACGTTGATTGCGCGCTTCTGACAGTTTCATCGAGCGCGTTCGCCCTCGTTTCTTTTTGTGCGGTGACACTCTGACGCCAGTGCTTCTGTATGCACTCTCATGGCGCGAAAACAAAGTCATTGCTTCATCCTGGGGCGCGTTACAGGCTACAAGTCAGCTTAACAGAAGCATGCATTGTTTGGCGTTCCAAAGGACAAAGCTCTGTTAGCGCAGTAGCGAAGAGCGATTTGCTGCGTGCTGAGAAGCTGCTTCAAGAAAATTTGTCTGTGTGCGAGCTACACATCGACGAGAGGTACAGCACTTTGAGCACACTGTGAACAGTGAAATTGTCCGCTGGCCGCATTGAAAGGGATAGGCGTGCGCAGGATTCCCGTTCAGGGGGAGGGGGAGTTCATTGCAGCGCCCCCCCCCCCCTTATAGCCCTTTTAGGTGACTAAAAAAGTGCCCCACCGCCTACTGAATGTATAGAGCAGATTTAGCGCCCCTCTCCTAGCTGGGTGACTAGAGAAGGCTCCCGCCCCCTCTGCCCCTCACGTGCGAACCCCTATGGGTAGGCCTTTCGGAGAAGCTCTTTGAATTTGAAGACACCCTTGAAATCACTTATTCAAAGTGGTTTAGATACAACGAGCTTCACAGTGACAGCTTGGAAGAGCATGTTTTCTGTTTGCAAAAAAAAAAAAAAAAAGATGTCGCAACTAGGCTGCTCACAACATTGTCCGAGCCTCACCAATCCAGTGACCAAGTTTTTTCTGCGCACCCATTTGCGTTTTTACACAAAGGTATCCCACGAGGAGCGGGCATCTTCCTGTGAAAAGAAGTACATGACGCTCTGGCACGTAACCTGGCCAAGGGAAACAATATTCTGTGGTGCGCTTGTGAACTATAAAACTTTTTTTTGTGAATAAAAATAGACGTGGGCCCAACTGATAAGAATGCAAACAGATAGTGAGTAACTACTCGGAAACGCGTTGTATGACTAGTGCGCAGAAAATAAAATGTTTTCATTCATATACCACTCGTGATTCTCGTCTCGAAGTTTATGCGTTAGCCATAGGTATTATTGTATGAAACTCTATGGCATTAGCACAAGTAGCTATAGCAAGCTATGCATGTTACGAATAATAAGGCTTTATTTACAGATTAGTGAAAAAGGAAATGATGGGTCGCCGTGGAAGGTGTTGCAAGCAATGACTCACAACTGAGTTGATCGTTCCACTTCACATAGATAAAATGTTTCATGCAGTCACACACTCACTTTTGGCACACTGTCGATATTTCAGTTCAGTCGCGCACCCGCTTAAGCATCCTGTAATTACAGAAGCTAATTAACATATTGGCTCGGTCGCCATTTGAGGTCATGCACAAGCAACAAAAAACGTTTTAAATGCTTCACATTGCCCGTGCGCGTGATTGATTCTCGTCTCTGCGCAGTGCATCGCCGCTGTGAGTGACGTGCAAACGTGTGCCAGCGCCAACTGGCGGTTTCCTCCCAGGCGTTACGCGCTAGCCGGCGCGTTCTTCACACTTTCCTATTCTAGCCAATGTAACTCTACCTTTCGAGTGGTTTTTCTATCTTATATTTGAGTGAGAGTGACAAAGTTGGTATCATTGTATTCGTCTTCAAATGATCCAGGGGGTGATGCTATTTTCATTTCTTTAGAACCATTTTGACAAAGGTAATCAAAGATAATTATCAGAAAAAATTTGAGTAAAATGTTCATCATAAGTGTTTCTCCATTTTCTTGCCTATAAAATGCCTTCAAATGGAAAAAAAATAGCTTCACCCCCTACAGCAACTTTTCAGCATTGGAGTTATGCATTTACCTTATCGTTTTTCCATGGTGAGATTGTGAAAAAGTCCCGTAAAAGATAAGCAATTAATTGAAATTTATACCTTTATATTTCCTGAACCACTTGAGCAAATTACATATTTGAAATCGGCATGCAAAAATACATTAGACAGTGAAGTTTAGTTGAGATTGAGCCAGAAATAAAAAAAAGAAGTTTTCAGAGCTCACGTCCAAGACACAGTCAGCTTTTGTACTTCAAACACTACTGTAAAGTAAAACATTGCTTTTATATCACTTCCTAGCTCTCAAATAAATTTGTTATCCTAGAGCAAGCAAAGGTAAACAATACAATCAAATGTTTTATGGCGATGTCACCCCATAAGTGCCTAAGCCAGCCAGTGGTGACGTGACGCAGTGTCATCTTAGGATCACAATAATACGAAGATTTTAAATGAACGTTGTAAATCATAGACTGACACTGTGCTGAAATATTTCGGAATCGGCACGCCCGATACCTTTAGAAGCAGCAAGAATGACAACCGGGTAGCTTCATTTTCTTTTCACGACCCCTTTAACCTTGTTTAACTTTCCTAATATTTGACCACCAGTGATCAACTGTAGACGGCCACAACAATATATTTTGAACAAGGTTTCCATAAACTCCAGTTATTAGCAGTGTCTTCGAGTTTTTTCCCTTCATCAGTGCATCGAATTTTTGCCACAACGGCTCAGCATGTAAGGCCACTCACTAGCCTAGATGCAATAGAACAGGTTGTTTCATCTGAAATCACCGTAAGCAAGGTTGGTTTGAAGTAAGCTACTGTGCGATTGTGTATACTATTGCAATAAACCCTCTAAGAAACACGCATCGGGGTCTCCTATACACGAGGTATGGCATTCCCATTTCTAAACAAATTCCATTTCAACGTAAGCACGTTGAAGACTCTTATAATAGGGTTCAACTGTCATTCACTCTGCTGCATAGCTGCAAGTGCTCGTGTTTTTTTCCCCCTCCTTTTACTACAGTGAAAACTTCTTAATTTAAATTTCATGGTACAAGAAAAACAAAAGATTAGAATTAACCAAAAGTCAAATTATCAAGTGTACCGAAAAGACAACAAACACATGCTTGCTACCACTTGTTTTTGATACTGTAAGGCTCCTAAACAGAATTATAACCCTGTCACACTAAGGCCCTTCAGGTGCACTTCAAGGGCCACTAGTGCCACACATGAGAATGCACTGCAAAGTGCCCTTAACGGTGAGTGCATTCAGCAAACGTACTTAGCTGCAACGGAAGCCTTGGTTGCAGTTCGACTTCACAGCTTTATGCTCGTGATGCACTGCAAAGTATGAAAAAACGTGAAACAACACAGTGATGCACAACACTCTGTGTACAACACTCTGTGTACATCACTCGGTGTTGTCTCTCGTTATTTCAAACCTTGCAACACATCACAACATTGAACACATAACAACTAGCCCCATCACTGTCTTATTATTGACTTTACAGCATTTTTTTAAACAATCAGTTTCATTATTAGGCACATTCCGATGCTTGGAAACATTCTATACCCCAAAAACGACTCTGCATTTCTCACTCTCACGCAGTTGACAGCCACGACCACCAGCGGCATGCCAAGCACACACTGTGCAATGTCCACATTCACGGCATTTGCATCTAAGATTATTTTAAGGGCTGCTTCTAGATACACAACATTATTAGTTAAGAAACACATAGCCTGACGCAACAAATATCTGCTGTGCTACTTCAATACTTATCGCCAATAACACTATTTCCAAAGTACACTTTCCTTTGCAGTGTAGCAGTGTGCCGCAAATGACATTTTGGGGCTGAAAGTGTGCTCACTCAAAATGACGCTCAAATGACCAGTGTGACTATGGTACTTGAATTCGTGAAATTGCAGGTGTAGCAACATAAGGCCCCTTCAGCGCCAAGTACCTACCGGACATGGCGGCGACACGCTCTTCCTCTTCAGCTTCCTCGTACTCCTGCTCCTGGGCGTGGCGGGCAGCAGCCTGTCGGGCAACTGTGTCGCCGTCCCCTTCACCCTCGTCCGAACTCTCACCTCCCTCGTCGACATCTGGACACTGTGGCGTCAGGCCAGTGTCCTCAGCCGAGCCAGCCTCCTCACTCCGACGTTCTCGTGCTTTCGTCGTGCGTGTCATTCTAGTATAATGGCCAATCGCAGTCACACTTTACTCATCTCTCATACGTATTTACGCTGCACAACCAACACTAAGAAAGCTCCCAGAGCATATACTATGTTTACTCGCATAATAGGAGCACGATTTTTTTTCCGGAAAAACAGGTGCCAAGTTCGGTGTTTATTACGCGGGCTAAATTTTCCGAAATTTCATTTCTGACTATAGCATCACAAAGCATGTTGCATCATCAGAACTCGCCTGTCTGAGAATTGGGGCATGCAATGCGGTGTGCTTACAAGCATTCAAATTTTCATGAACAAACATTGAAAGACCCGCGTTTCCAACCGAACAAACGCAAAAAAAAAACTACAGAAAGAAAGTGCCTTAGCCGAAATTTTCCGATTGTGTTTCAGGCGACCTACATTATGCGTGTTATCACGACCGAAATTTTGTGCGGTGAACGGTAGCGAATGTTCATTTCACGGGCTCGCACTCGTTACCCAATGACAGTGAAATTGAATCATGAACCACTATTAGAGTGTTACAAGCGCCACCCATGCACCCTTTTCTTCAAGTTGAGCCACCGCAAAAAGTTGCATTGATTCTGTACCAAACCGCTATTTGATCACCCACAAATGCCACTAAAAAGCAACAAATGCTGATTAGGCTTAGTCTATGGTTTGTATTAGTCACAACATGAAGATCGGGCATCAAAAAAATCGTACTCATGCACTGATCCAAGAGCAGGGCGCGTGATGCGATGTTTAGGTTCGTGGCCGGGAAATCAATGGCGACAAAAGTTCGCCAAGCTTCAGCAAGGCCACGTTGGCAGCAAAGGTGAAAGCTCGTGTCGGAAAGCTGAAAAGCTTTTAAATTTGTGGATGAGGTAGCAAACGATATAACCACAACCCTTTTCTCAACAGAAAACTCAATGCACACTTGATAAGAACGCGATCACACCTTTCGAGCCGAGCTCGCGCTGGTGCAAAGGTTACTTCGACGCCCAGGCAACCACCCTTCTTTGTCACACGGTGAACCAGTGCAGCGCTGCCACGGTCTTTTTTTGTGCATTCATATTTAGATTTCAAGGTGTTTTTCAATGGGTGTCATACTTGTTGGATGTACGCTCCAAGAAGTGAAAAGCCTGTCCTAGAGTTTCGGTCCGGGCACTCCAAAGTTGTAAAGAATGCTGTTGCAACGACATGTTTAAAGGTGGCACTCAACAAGTCTTGCCCGCATAGGATGGGGGAAGGCCTTGGGAAGTAAATTTACAGGCTCAAGCTGTCTAGGTTTCCCGAGGACCATTTGGCTAGGCTGGCTGAAAGGGTTCTCCAAGATGTCAAAGCGCAGGCAAGACTCAGGCAGTGCTTGGTAAGTGCTCGAAGGAACTGCCGATTGCCAGCATACCGTACCTACATGGTGTTTCACACCGTTTAAAGAAAGTCGGAGCAACATACGGTTGCAATGTTTTCTTTGCGGCCGGCAACCGTTTAGGCAGCGTTTGCGCGGCAGTTGCGAGAAGGATCAAGGGTGAGTGGCATGACAGGGGTACTTGCCAGGTCAGGCACAGGGCCAAAGGGGTCGACTACGCCGTCGCTGTGGTGTACGGCACTCTGCTATCATGTGGGAAGTTTTATTTTGGACAGACGGGGCTTTGTATCAATAATAGAATTATGGGCCACAAAGCTTTTCTGAAGGGGCAACCATGCTCTAACCTATTATCGCATTGTAGAGGGTGCAGCTGCGCACTTTTGCTTGGTGATTTGGTGATGTTTAGTTAAAGCTAGATTTAGGGACAAGGTAGCATGGGAAATTGAGAGGCGTATCTCATCAACAAAGCTGGCAATTCATGTGTCGCACAACCCTCGGTTATGTTACTTCCCACTGAGATGGCTTTTCTAGAAGCGTATAATTAATACAATCTGTCTGCTCATCTAATCATTTTCTTTCACCCCACGTGTTCTCGTAACTGCATATATATATGCCTGTTCTCTTGAATAAAGTTTCAGTTGTTAGTGTGCACTGTGTCCAGGTGTCTTCCTTTTGTACTTCAAATTTTTTCGCGAAACTCAGTTAGGAAGGTCTTTCTTTCTTTTTTCCTCGCTCCAGTTTGCATCCATGCAAATACAATTCAGAATTACGGCCAAATTTAAGGTGCGCCTATTATGTGAGTGCGTCTACTATGCGAGCAAATAAGGTAAGTGACATGAGATACCTAGTTGTTTAAGTAAAAGCTTGTTTATTCGACTCCATAGAGAAAATTAGATAATTTGGACATGTTCTCTGGTTTTGCCAAGAATATACATTGTTTGATGGCAGCAAACTTTCATTGATTTGGCAATAGTTGTCTGCAAACCGGTTAATTCAGAAAATCTGCAGGGTGTGTAAAGCACAAACTGCCGCCAATGTCTTCCTTTGCAAGAATGGTGAAACTTCTTAATAGTGATACTGTAGATACCATGCTTCACTAAAGTGAAGTTGAAAATACACAATTTCTTATTGTGCACATTAAGCTTTATGAAGTTATATTTTTAACTATAAAAATAATGTTCTCATAAAGTCAAACCTGTTTATAACGAACTTGAAAGTGCCGCAATAAAAAGTCGTTATATCAGTAGTTCTTTGTAAACCGCCCATAAAAACATCCACGTAATGGCCAAACCATTTTTTTTCCCTGTGTATATTTATTAAAAAGTGCGAACAATATCTCCGCTGACAAGTTAGGTCTTCTCGCGTGTTAAATGATGCCTGTTTGCTCATGAGTGAATTCAACCATGTTCACAATGAACTCACGCCGTTCCATTGAAGCGCGGTACCACCACGTCGAACCAATCATCCCAGGTTAGTTGTGTGCAGCACGTTGCTTACTCAGCTCTTGCTGCCGCATGCCAGCTCACTTGCAGTCCAATGGGCGTGTATGGGCGTGTTTGTGCTTTCCTCACTCATGCTTGACTCGGGATTGAATGGGTGCGGCGAGTAGCCTGTTCATTTAACATAACAAACAATTTTATGAGCAAAGCGTGCAAGTGGCCTCACACGATGCAGCGGCGGCGAACTTGCGTGCGGCAGCATGACGCGCTTGTACCTCTGTCACTTCACCGAGCAGCTATCTGCAGATGACTGTGATAAGGTTACCGGCGATGAGTCAAAATGGCATGTTCATCGCCAACGGCCTCCTCGCCTTTTTTTTTTTTATGCTTATCCGTTAAGGTACCGGTCCTTATCACTAATCGACCGGTCTCTGCCATTACCTAAAGGTGGAAAACCTTTTGGGGCACACTGTAGTGTCAAACAGTTGATCGTCGCAGTGAAGTTTTATGCGACAAAAATTATCGCTTCTTGCATTTATCGCTTCTTGCATTCGAAACTATTGTTGGTTAATCGCCAGTGGTCGTAGATGACGAGAACGACGTCAGAAAAGTTTGTCATGCGAAAGCTGACTGTAAGTTTTCACACTGCCTCCTACTTCTTTTAATTGTTTTTTCACACTTCGATTCTACCGGTGAAGAAATGTCTGGAAAGTGAGCACCTGGCTCGAAAAGTCCGAAATCTGCGTGCGGTGCTCACCGCGGTCTATGATATCTTCGTCGCAGGTAAACTGCAGCTGAGCGCACATGAGGGCGTGCCTATCAAATGCTTTAGAATGCCTGTTCTTACATTTTGCTCGCTTTATATGTGCCATATTTTCACCGCGACTACGTTGGAAGTGTTCGTTGTAAAAGTAGGCAGCTTTGAAAAATGTTCGCTGTATGTGGACCGAGTTTCAAAGGGTAGCATAGGAAAATCGTAAGTGCACCAAAATACGGTCCTTATAACTAATAGATCGTTATATCTGGGATCGTTGTGAATGGGTTGGACTGTATTCATATTGAAGGGAATCAATCTTGTATGAACATAAAAAAGTTTCTTTCAGGAACACCAAAGAAATGTGACAACATTGAAATATAAGGAATATATAGAAAATGGGTTTCAGAACAACAAACACACCTTCTTTCTGCTTTCTTAAGCGTGTGGTAGCTGACGTTTATGTCTTGTTACGTTCCATTTACTTATTTATTTATTTTTCTTGCAGGCATACGTTGTATTGTTTCACTTAGCCATAGTGGCATTGTAATTGTGCAGACAGTGCAGTGTTTACCTCTACTAAATTTTAGCGCATACAACTGTACCGTATTTACTAGTGCAATAAACGCACTCATATAATAGACGCACCCCCAACTTCAGTCATCAAAATATAGATTTTTTTCCCTCCACGTAATAAACGCACCCCCTACTATCATCCACTGCAGCCCCGCTAACCGACACCTGCTGCCTTCTCACCCATTAGATCTGTTCCGTTTTTTATTTTTCCGACCCACCTTGGCTCGCATTGTAGTCCCCCCCGTCTGTCCGTTGCCGTGTGCTGCACTGTTTTAAAGACGATAGTCTTTCTTTGACCCAAAAATGTTGGTCTGTCTGTCTGTACATTTGTCTGTTTGTCCACTCTTACCTGAGGGTACTTGAAACGGTTGACTCCATCCGCAGCAACCACCAGTGTTGCTCAAGGTTGAGCGTTCATGCTTGTGCGATTGTCAATTAAAAAGCAATTATTGCGCATGTCTGGGGCACCATAACAACACGCATCTATTCTGCATATGCATCTCTTACTAGAAAACGCATACATAAGTAATTTTAAGGACCATAGCGCTTATCACGCTGCGCTTACCATGCAACGCTTGCACGGAACGGGGAGTGTTTCCAACACTTTGCTAAAACGAGATGGTGGTGGCACCTACCCGTCGCCTCGAGTTTTACGCCTTATCACCTCTGAGACGCGCACGGCCACGCGCTTTGTTTTCCAAAAGGAACTGCCAGATGGCGCTCATGTCTCACGTGTGAAGTGACTTCATGCGCTCGTTCGCCTCCACTGCATGCTCGAGGCACTCTAACGCAGCGCCTCCGGAATACCATTCACCGATTTTCTTGCGTAGAACATCAAATAAATATTTTGTTCACTCTCTCCACACGCAGGACTATCGTCTT